GAATTTTTCAATTCCAGTGAATACCTCCTCGATTTTTTTTTTGGAATTTCGAATTTTCAAATTTCAGCGAATATCTCCTTGATTTTCATGTTCCCCTGATACTTTTTTAAAAAATTTCGAATTTTTCAATTCCAGTGAATACTTCCTCGATTTTTTTTTGAAAATTTCGAATTTTAAAATTTCAGCCAATACCTCCTTGATTTTCATGTTCTCCTGATAATTTTTTAAAAATTTCGAATTTTTTAATTCCAGTGAATACCTCCTCGATTTTTTTTGAAAATTTCAGTCAATCCTCTATGCTCCGACGATCACCACGTTTCCCCCCACTCTATCGCTACCCCTCCTTCGCCGGTATCGACACCCAGCTTCGTGCCCTGCCTTATTCACGGGTATGGTGACAGTTTGATTTAGTTCCGTAGCCGCCGCTACGAAAGTGGTTGGTGGAACCTTTACCATAAGCACTGCTCATCTCTCCTATAATGTCTGAATAAATCTCCAAACTCCAAAACTTGAAAATCCAAACTCCAACAATTATCACAAGTGAGTAAATACTACGAGTCACTCCACCAATATAATTGCTTCGTCAGTTGAACAGAATTCAAGCTTTCACAGGTAACCAGATCAACGTGCAGATTTGACCAGCAGCATTTCCATTAAATTTGAAACAACTCTAATCTTCGAAAGGTCTTCCTACAAATAGGTCACAGTATCTAGCAGTAATGACTCCTAGCGATCGATGAGTCAGCGAGCAGACTAGATTAGACTGGTGTGTAATTTCTCTGATTATCCAGAATCTTCAAGTGCTTGAAGCCTCATCATGGGTGAGCAACAACTAGAGAGCCTTCGAAAGTGGCTGGATACGTTCGACCTCGTCGTCCCCCACGGGTCTTCAAAGGACATAAGTGATGGTGTCGCCTTGGCAGAGGCTCTAGCCCAGATAGCCCCAGAATGGTTCACCTCAGCCTGGAGATCCAAGATAAAATCAGACGTCGGCACTAGTTGGCGACTCAGAGTTAGTAATTTAAAAAAAATTGTCGAGGCAGTAATGGAATATTACTCCGAGTGTCTCAATCAGCCTCTGTCTGGGTATGTCAAGCCAGACGCCTCAAAAATCGGTGAATTATGTGACAGTGATGAGTTGAGAAGATTATTGCAGTTGGTGTTGGGCTGCGCAGTTAACTGCACAGATAAGCAAAAATACATAACGAGGATAATGGGGATGGAGGAGTCTGTTCAACAGGCTATAATGCAGAGCATCCAGGAGCTAGAGGGAAGTATGCACGGAGCGAAATTGTCACTCGGTGCGAGCCTCAATTTTGAAAGCCTGGATGTCGGTGATGGAGGCCAACAGAGACTCCTCGCCGAGCTCCAAATGGCAGTCGATCTCAAGGATCAACTGGGTCAGCGCTGTCACGAGCTCGATCAACAACTCTCTCTTCTCCAGGAGGAACGAGCTGCGCTCATTGTGGAGAATAAGAAACTGCAGGAAAGACTCGAGGAATTGGACAATCCTGATAACTCAGCCTCGAGTCTCAAGTTCTCTGGGCTGAGGAAGCAGATTGAAAATCTCAAGGATGAAATATTCAAGATCGAGGGGTCAAGGGATGACTATAGACTCAAGGTGGAGCTCCTTGAGAAGGAGGTTTTCGAGCTGCAGTCCAAACAAGAAGAGTTGCAGAAGGTTGCTGAAGAGTCAAATCAGCTGAAGGATGAGATTGATGCCCTCAAGGAAACAGCTGACAAGGCCATTAAATACGAACAGACCATCGAATCTTATAAGAAAAAAATGGAGGACTTGAGTGATTTACGGAGACAAGTTAAGATTCTAGAGGAGAAGAATCTGGAATATATGCAGTCAAAGATTGAGTACGAGGAGGAAATAAAGAGAGCGTCGATGGTGAGGAATCATCTGGATGGGTGCAAACAGCAGTTGGCTGCGTGTCAGTACAAATTCGATGAGCAGACGAATAAATGTGATAAATTGGAATTTGAAACGAAAAAATTGGAGGCTAAATTATCGTCAGTGCAGCGTGAGAAGGAGAGACTCATCATCGAGAGGGACACACTCAAGGAGACAAATGAGGAGCTCAAGTGCACGCAGCTCCAGATAGCTGAAAATTCGTCGACTCCTACTATGGTTCATGCACTATCCAATGCCGAGTTAATTCCCCCGGAAATCAAGGAGAAGCTACTGCTTCTCGAGCACGAGAATAAAATGCTCAAGTTGGAGCAATCGGGTAATGACGAAAAATTGCCAACTGTACAGGCGCTGCTGGACGACTCTGAGGAGCGTTTGAATGCCCTGAGAGGACAGATTCGAAAGGCCAATCAGAGGATAATGGAGCTCGAAAACAGAATTGAGGAGCTGACCGAGCAGCAGGCCAGTGGAGAGATTAAAGTCGATGGGGCAGTCCTGCAGACGCAGATTCTCCATCTGCAGAACGAAATCAAGCAACTCCAGGGGGAGAGAGAGCGTTCGACTCTTCAGATTGATGAGAAGGAAGGGGCGATGCAGATGCTTAAGGAAAAAGTTCGAATTCTTCAGGATAGCTTGACCCGGAAGGAAGAGGAAACCGCTGCTTTGGAGGAGAGGTATAGAAAGTACATTGAGAAAGCCAAAAGTGTCATCAGAGGGTTGGACCCTAAATTGAGCAATTCTCCTGGAGAAGTGATGCTTCTGAGGAATCAGCTTGTCGAGAAGAGAAAGAATATTGAAGATCTCGAGCGGTCTATGAGAGAGACCAAGGTACTTAGGGACATGGAAGAGAAACTCATGGTTTCTGCGTTTTATAATTTGGGACTTGCGTGTCAGAGAGAGAGTGTCGATCAGAGATTAGCTGCCCTTGGTACCAGCCAGGGCAATTCTTTTCTCTCCAGACAACGACAACCCTCAGCCAGGCGGACTTTACATCCCACCTATAATTCTAAGTGAATTTTCGTTATTTTTAGAGGGGAATATTTTTTCAATTGATTATTTTAATATCTTTAATCGAAAATTGAGTAGCAGAAGAAATAAATGTCCCAAGGTGTGACACTATTATTTCATTTTTCACAATATTCTTGAATCAAGAATATTCTGAGTTAATAGTGATTAGGCGTCACTTTGTATATATAGTCAAAAAAAGAGATGTATTTTAAATGGTTCGATACCTTAATATATATTTTTAAGAAATTTGTATTGTATCTGTAGAAAATTTAGAGTTACCATCTTTATGTTTGTCTTCAGTTTATCGGATAATGCGTTGAAGTTATTTTTAACGTGACAATTATATATGTTATTGGTCCATACGGAATGACTTACGTAATTAGGAAAATTGAATAATTGTAAAATCGTGATGAAATTAAATTTTTTTTTATTATTCGTTTGAGCAAAAATAATTTAAAGATTGTTCATTTCACTTGATATTTACAAAAGATGGGTTGATTTTGGATTTTGGAGGAATGTGTGCAATGGCGACTGCTAATTGCTCCAGTAGTTTCCGCCGATTGTTCTCTATTTTATTTGCAAATGTAGTTGCACGGAATGAGCAAGGTTGGTCAATAGCTTTCTGGTAAAGTCTCATTCTTTCCAAATCCGCGTAACTGCGTTGATAATGGAAGATTGCTATAAGTAAGTCCCATATGCTGGATTCTGGCCAGAGAACGTTGGAAAAATGTACGTAGGAGTGTGAAATCTAATGAACAATATAAAAAGTATTATGGATAAATTTATGAGTTCAACAAACTCTTCAATCCCAATGAAATTGTTGTTGATCTAATTATTTAACCACCTGCCAGAGGAGATAATCACTGAAACGAATTTCCCCTGAAGTCCTGATGATGAGATCTGGGTCTGACGATCGACTAGTATAAAGGCATTTCGAGAATAATTTCTCTGTGACATCGGCTGTGTCGATATCATTATTTTTAACACCTTCTGCAATCGTTTTGACTGTCTCTGTAATCTCGTCCCTAGCTGAAAGCAAAATTACAATTGTATATTCGCTATTCATATGCATTGATTCATATCCGAACATTTTTTTTTTCTATTTGTATTATGTATTATATTTTTTTTTTTCGGCAATAAATATGAATAAGGTCCTTACAGGTATAAGCGAATGCAATATTCAAAAATGCCTTATCATTATCTTTGGTGATAAGCATAGCCTTCGCCATCAATTGTCGTAGGTGTTCAGGTATCAACGACATATTTCCTATCACTGAAATACGTACGCCATTCTCCGTCAACCTATCACTGAAATGAAATTGATAATAATAATACTAACTTTCATTGAGGTACAGGAGAAAAATTGTATTAAATTGTATTAAATGGTAAAGGTAAAGTTTACGATGGACATGATTGCGTACCTCTCATCTAATAGTCTTTGGAATTTCTTCCTCGCGAGATCAATCAGTGCGTCTACTTCTTTCTGATTTCTCTTGAAATTTTCAATGCTAAATGCGTAGACTGTTACCTCCTTGATACCAAGATCCAGACACCACTGGAGAGTCTCAGCAAGTTTGTTGAACCTTCAAAAATGAAACGAAATTATTGAAATTTTTTAATTGCTTTGACATTTCTATGTAAAATAATTCATCAACCGAGGGAAAATTATGAAAAATTTATCTGCTTTTCCGATTATCGATTTTCTGTAATGATTACCCTTCTGCGTGACCCTGAATTCCAGCCACCTTGTTTTTCCTTGCATATCTTCTGTTTCCATCCATAATAAAAGCCACATGCTGAGGAATCCTCCCGCACTTGATTATTTTCACCGCCAACGATTGTAAAAAACTCAATGTATTTTTTCTTATCCACGACATTTTTTTTTCTAATAAAAAAAACACTCAACAATAAAAAATTGGGGAATGAACATTCAAACAATCCTCAAGCACGAAGCCAGCGGTTGTTCCACTCAAATTAAAATCGGTAAATGTCTAGAACGTTCTTTCCGAAATTCAACAGAACGTTCAAACACTATTTGCCCCAAAATGTATTATAATTTTTACATTATTGAAGCTATGTCACGAGTATCACGAGTGGTAGCTGGTGCAGTTGATGATACAAATTATCAATGCAACAAGAGTAACCGAAAATGCATGAAAAAATGAAAAACTCGAAATGGGCGGAGAGTAAAAAATAAATGCTCTCAGTATTTTTAGGAAAATTATTATTGAAAATTCAGCAACAAACTCTGAGTGAAAAAAGTGAGGGGCAACAGAAAGTGTAAAGTTCGCACCTGAAATTCAACTATCCAATGCCTCCACGCCATGAAATTTCCGAGCACATATATATGTAATTATGTATGTAGTCGGGAGTAAGTGGTGGTGGTAATAGTAGAGTGGGGATATCCCTTGGAACTACTTTTTGAAAGTGCAGGAGTGAGCATGCGTGTATGTAATGCGGTCGTTAGCCCACTACTCGCTACAGGCCAAAAGAATACCGTAAATTTTAATACCGCGCTATGACCCGTAAAAAAAAAGTTAAATAATTATTAAAAAAATACTTAGTATACTGAGTGTGAAAAAATTAAGCCCTCTCCAATGCTGACGATGGAGAGCCAAATAGGAACGAGTGAATCTGTTATCGAGCCAGGTAATAGGTTTATCGAGTTGTGTGAAAAGCTGAAGTGATGAAAACATGGGTGCCCCAGTGAGCATGCGAATTGTGTCTTAACCCGAGCGTTCTTTATTTCAGAGCTTTACTACCTAATTGCCAAATTCCTCGAGGCGGGACCCCTTCGTGACACTGCCGAGGTGAGTCAATCATCAGTAATTCCCATAATGCATCTCTTCATTTTTTTAAACATTACTAATGGATTATTGTGTAATGTACAGGTCCTCAAGCGGGAATTGGAGCGAGCCAAGGTAAGACCATTACTGGTTGACGTTTTACCGGGGAGCACTACATAACTAGTGGCTCCACATGGTTTGCACGTGGTTTCTACTTGTCAAAACATTAGATTCAAGGGGTTACTGACCTCCTTGCTCATAAAAAAAAAAAAATTTTCCACTTGTCCTTCCTGTAAATTACTACAAAATCCATTTTTCTACGATTTCTCCACAGATATTGCCACAAAGGCTTGACTGGGAAGGAAATTCTCATAATCAAGGGTTTGCAGAGTTGGTAAGTTGTATTCGATGATTTTATTGGCAATTTTCGGGGCGCAATTGGGGGAAGAGCTCGTTATAGCTTTTTCCAGATTTTATTGGGTCTAGGGATGGGAAGGGGTTTTGGGCCTCAGGAAGCGAAGGAATCGAGCCTTTGTTTATTAGTATCGAGCGAGCCTGAAAGCCACCCCTCGGGGGACTGCCAACGCTTCAATCCTCTTGTTTTCCCCTTCTTCTTCATTAAGCGTTCACAACCGTACTATTTTTCTCGTTTCCCCTCATGGGCTTTTCACCCGTATCGCGACATCTAGTGGTGGCTGATTTCAAGATACATATGCTGAGGCGTATTCAGAATGTTTGGACATGTGTTGCGCCAGAGGTGATGGGGATTGGCTGGGGCTGAGGGATTCAGCTCTCATTGGTTTATTGGGGACTACTTTTTGGGTTCGTAATGCGGCGGGAAGGTTCCGGTAGCTTTCACCTTTATTTTCTTGTTTTTCATTTGCGACGGGGCTTTATACTCAATGTTTACTAAATTGATATTTAATAATTATATTCATTCAATAGGAGAGAAAATATCCACATATAAGTAGAGATCATTTGCTGCGAGTATGTGCAAGAATTGGTCCAATACTGGAGATAGAGGTGCCACCATGTGTACCTGGTGCAGTGTCTCTACTGGGTGCTGGCAAGCAGTCAATCCTCCGAACAAAAGAAGGCAAGCCTCCTCAACATGTTGAGAAATTGATAATTTTTTCTTCATCGTTTGTGTCTTAATTACGTGGCGTTAACTCGATTCCAGATCTTTTGAAGCATTACCGAGGGATCACTGGCTACTCGAGTCGCCTAGGAGGTCAACCACTCCTGGAGCAGCCTGGTTCGCTGCTCACTCACAACATTGTGCGAGCCCTTCAGGGTCGAGAAAATTCGGGTCCCCTGTGTCGACGCGAGGCAATCCCTACAAAATTCTACTCAAAAATGCAACTCTACAGACACACACTGGGTCACCTCTCTGCCGTTTACTGCGTTCTTTATGATAAAACCGGTAAATATGTTATAACTGGAGCTGACGATTTACTGGTAAAAGTCTGGAGTTCCATGGACGGAAGGCTCCTTGCGACTTTCAGAGGTGCATCAGCAGAGATCATGGACATTGCCGTTAATTTCGACAACTCGTTACTCGCAGCTGGAAGTCTCGACAAAATCCTCAGAGTGTGGTGTTTTCAGACCATGTCCCCAGTGGCCGTTCTCTCAGGCCACTCTGGCATGATAACGTCTGTTAATTTTTGTCCCATAAAGTGCAACGGTGTTTACTATCTGGTGTCAACGAGCACCGATGGATCCGTGGCCTTCTGGTCGTACAGAAAGGAGAGACATGAGAGGGCAGTATTTCAACCAAAACCAATTCAATACCACGAAAAAATGCGTCCTGGTCAGGCCCAGATGATCTGCGCCTCCTTCAGCCCTGGTGGTGCCTTTATGGCTGCAGGATCTGCTGATCACCATGTCCGAGTGTACGCCATGCTGGGAGACGAAGGCCCCAGACGAGTCCTTGAGGTCGAGTCAAACTCAGATACCGTCGACAGCATCCAATGGGCACACATGGGCCTCAAATTCATCTCAGGATCCAAGGATGGCACTGCAAATGTTTGGCACTTTGAGCAGCAACAGTGGCAACACAAACGCCTTCTCATGACCACTAGACTACCCACGGAGCCGGAAACCGAGGAGGACTTTAACAAAAAGGCCAAAGTAACCATGGTGAGCTGGGACTGCAGCGACGAGTGGGTAATCACAGCTGTCAGTGACTTTTCTCTAAAAGTGTGGAATGCCAAAAGCGGTGAGCTTGTGAAAGTACTTCGTGCTCACAAAGACGAAGTTTTTGTCCTGGAGTCCCATCCAATCGATCCACGAATCGTTCTGAGTGCTGGCCACGATGGACAATTAATAATCTGGGATGTTTTGAACCCAGAACCATTGGCTGTTTTTCAGAATTTTATTGAAGGGCAGGGTAATGGGGCTGTCTTTGATGCCAAGTGGTCACCTGACGGTACGATGCTTGCAGCAACAGACTCCCACGGGCACTTATTGATGTATGGATTTGGTAGTGTCAGTGACAAACTCAAGATCATACCCAAGGAATTGTTCTTTCACACTGATTATCGACCCTTGATTAGGGATAATAATAACTACGTGCTTGATGAGCAGACGCAGACAGCTCCTCACCTGATGCCTCCACCATTTTTGGTAGATGTGGATGGTAATCCTTATCCGCCAGCACTACAGCGTCTGGTACCAGGGAGAGAGAATTGTCGAGGGGAACAATTGGTACCGAATATTGCTGTAGGTGCTGGGGGCATGCAAGAGGTAATCGAGGGTCTTCCTAACCAACTCCCTCGTTCTGATATCGATAGGTTGATCGAGGCACTGGCACAGAGACAGAATATTATTGGTGTGGAGAATGACGATGAACGAGAGGAGAATCGTGAGGAACATCATGTGGAGCAGTTGAGAGCTGTGGGGATAGCAAGCCCTAGGGGTAGTCGTCCGGGACTTCGACGAGATGGCGATGTCGAGGGTGTGAGACAGAGCAGTGGCAATTGGCAAAGGGATAACACCACACCGTGGAATAAACCAATCCTGGCTCAACCTCTCAATCCAGCCGTCAAAGTAACACAACTTAAGCAGCTTCAAGGGATGGCTGACCTAGAGCTTGACAACTGGAGGAGGGAGATGAAGAGACGACCACTGACGAATCCCGTTGAGATTGAGGAACGCCTGAACAATCGGGCCAATACCAGGAAAAGAAATCGTGGTATCAGACATGGTTATAGAACTAGGGCGACTCGAGAGGAGCAAGAAGAGGATTATGATGAGGAGAATGGCAATAGCAATAGCTCAATGACCAGTAACACCAATGACTCGACTGCTGATGAGGTTGATCTCTGTTCAGAAACGTCGTCGGACACTAGCAGTGTTTATTCCGACTGGATCGCCGATCATGGAGTTAATCTTGAGCCCCCAAAAAGAAGTAAAAGAAAACCTGTGCAGAAAAAACGTTCACCAACACCTCCAACAGACTCTGAGGTGCGGAGATCCCAGCGGCCGAGAAAAAAAATCATTCATCTGCCGAATGGAATATCAGAGGTGCCAGAGGCATATAGACCTTCTGAATGGCTGACTGAGGTAATCCCGAGGAAGGCACCTTACTATCCACAAATGGGAGATGAAATCGTATATTTTAGACAGGGTCACAGTCTCTACCTCGATGCAGTGAGAAATAAAAAGGTGTATGAATTGGGACCTAGATGTGAGCCCTGGACAAAGACAAACTTACGTCCCCAGGAGTTCGTCAAGGTTGTTGGGATAAAATATGAAATTCGTCCACCTAGGTTGTGCTGTCTCAAGCTAGCACTGATGGATGAGGATGGAAGATTGACTGGAGAAAATTTTACCATAAAATATCACGATATGGCAGATGTACTAGATTTTTTAGTCCTCCGGCAGACGTTTGAGAATGCTCTGCAGAGGAGTTGGTCTGAGGGGGATCGATTTAGATGCATGATTGATGATGGCTGGTGGATGGGACAAATCGAGTCAATGGAACCTTTGGATGATGATTTTCCAGAATCGTATTTTATGTGCTTCCGAGTGAGGTGGGATAATGGGGAGTTCGAGCGAATGAGTCCCTGGGATTTGGAGCCAATCGATGAGGACAGATTGCCCACGGAAATTGGAGGAGCTGTTCCAGTGTTACCTGAGGAGATCCAGGCTACTCTGTATCAACCGCAGGCTGAGGAGTGGCCGATGGGGGATAGGGAAGCCACTTGCAGAAGAATTGCAAGGGGAATTGATCAAGTTATGACTCTGGCGATTGCTGAGCACTTTATAACCCCAGTGGACCTCAATATTTATCCGACGTATGCCTTTTTCGTGGAGTATCCCATTGATTTGAGCACCATCAAGGCAAGACTGGAGAATCATTTTTACAGGAGAATAACGTCTGCTCAATTTGATGTTAGGTATCTAGCAACTAATGCTGAGCAGTTTAACGAGCCTCACAGTCAGATTGTCAAGGCTGCTAGGATCGTTACTGATTTGTGTCTGAGAATTATCAAGGAAACCACTGAGGTCGATGTTCCTGCTGTTTATCATCAGCTTGCTGACACGTATCATTCTTCGGATTCTGATATTGATGTTGAAGATCACAATATGCCTTCTACGAGCAGGCAGAGGACTCGCTCCAGTAGGAACTTGAGATCTCAGCAGGAGGTTTGTGTTGATTGGAAGGTGGCTTGTAGGCAGCTGCTGGAGGCTCTGTGGCAGTGCGAGGATTCCATTCCATTTCGAGAACCTGTCGATACCATGGAGCATCCTGATTATCACCAAATCATTGATACACCCATGGATTTGAGGACTGTGAAGGAGGATTTGCTTGGAGGTAATTATGAGACTCCTCAGGAATTTTCCAAGGATATGAGGCTCATTTTTACCAATAGTAAAAATTATAATACCAATAAACGCTCGAGAATCTACGCTATGACATTAAGATTATCAAATTTATTCGAAACTCAAATGAAGAAAATAGTTAACAATTGGAAATCAGCTAAAAGACGAAGTGAGAGCACTAGACCAAAAAGTAGAACGAGAGCTCAGCCAAGATCGTCTAAAACTCGGTTAACCAATGGAGCAGGCCCTTCGAAACCAAGCCAAGACAGTAGTGATGAAGATGAGGAAGAAGAGGATGTGAATAATGTCAATGATGAGGACTCCGAGGATGATGAGGAAGAGGAGGAGGCTAAACATCCAGCGCCACCGAAAAAGAGATTGCAGAATTTCGATGATCCAGGTCCCTCGAGGGTAACTAACGGCCACGTGAAGCCACCCACTACCTCTCGTCCAACACGTCGAAACACTCGAAACACTCCGAGGAAATCGCAAGCAAGTGACAGTGAAGTTTCCGAATCTGAAGCCTCCCTTGAAAGTGAATCCAGCGACAGTGCCCCAGTGCGTCGCAAAAGGACTCGAAAACAAACAACAAGTGATGATGTGGGAAGTGACTCTGGTGAAAGTTACAAACCAAGTGGTCGCGGCAAACAGACTCGTAAAAATCGTGCGAAAAACAGTAAAAATCCACGAACAGTCAATCGTCCAAAGCCCAAGTACGTTCCTCAGGACGATGACGACGAGGAGGAGCACATGCTGGAACCTGAGAATTCTGAAGAAGAGGAGGAGGAGGAGGAAGAGGAGGAGGAGAGTGAGGAAGAGGTTATGCCGAGAAACACGACGCGATCGCGAAAGATGCCTCCAGTACAACAGAGAGTGCCTCGGTCCGTCTCAGATGAGGACGAGAGTGACGAGGGCTCGTCAGGAAGCACTGCTTATGGCTCCCAGAGGCAAAACACTCTCGAGAGTCATCACGACACAAATAGCAGCGACTCAGAAGTGATGAACAATCGTCTGAGGAATCACAGACCACAGAAAAAAATTCACACTGGGCTGAGTGATGATTCAGATCCCGACGAGGTAATTTCACACTCACGAAGAACAGTGAAACGGCCAAGGTACAATGAGGAGAGTGATGATAGCACTACAGCACCAGTTAGAAATAGACGTAAGATTAAAAGACGTTATTACAATGAGGAGAGTGATGAGAGCACACCAGAGCCGGGCGTTAGTATAAGCAGTAGGGGACGCGTACGCAAGTTGACCCCTAGAGCACGTGCTTTTCTACTCGAATCACCTTAACGGCCTTTTATTTAAATAATTACGTTACCTGTATATGTCATACACTCTTGGCCAAAGTCCAAAATCAAGTTATTGACGGAAAAAAAAATTAATGATTCTTTTTCATTCTTTGCTTTTTTCATTTAAATTATAAAATTTTCATTTTCCTTTTTCATTTGTGGATTAATCCTTGTTTTTCGTGGAATTGACCAATTTCTTGAAATTAGAATTTGAATATGTCGAGAGTATTCTTTCAAAGGAAGTGCTACCGTATGATTTACTTTATTTATTTCTCCTCAGTGAGTGCTTAATCGCTATTTTTGGCACGAATATCTCATGATTACTTATCAATTTTCAATACTTGATGTTTACTGATTTTGTTCTCCGTTTATATTGCTCGTGAATAATGTTGATAAAATTCACGTGAGTATCACTGCCATTAATGTGGAATTATTGCTTACTGAGAAATTCAATGATTATTTATGAAAATTTCTGTACCTTGGTTGCTTAACGAATTTTATGTTATGTAATGATTTTGTTTTGTTTCATTATTTTGCGTTCATCTGCTTTTTGGGAAATTGGCATTTGATGTTTTGAGGATATTATCACTAATTAATGGACTGACGCTGCACTCATGTACTGTAAACAGCGCGTTGAAAAAAAAAACGATATATTCTACGTACAATTGTTGAACTAACCTGTAATCCGATCGATGAGATTGCTAAATACCGGAGACATTAATTTGCAAAGTTTATGACCAATACCTCATTATCATCAATTAGAAGTATGCATTTGCCGATTCTCAAATCAAATGATTCCGTATTTATACGAGTTTGAAAAAAAAGGCAGTACCTTTGCCTATTAATAATTCTCAATACTCAATTGATTTTTCATCATTGTGTTACACTCGTACCTTTCGAAAAAATATCATTTTTTTTATGATTTTCAATGAATAATTATCCTGGTGAATTCTTGATTTCCGTCTAGCATTAAAATTAATCAATGCACAGCACGAATAATGGGAGTGGTGATTAAACGAAGAGTAACGTCTGTCCACTGTTGTTTCAAGTCTTGACTGTCTCAAGCCATTGTGATATTAGCCATAAGAATACGACGAATAGGTGGTAATGATGGAATTATTGAGTCAACTCAATGGATATTTTTTTAAATAATAAACATGAGGGTGAACATAATATTAGGTAAATTCAATGGAGACGAGAGAGCCACAGACGATAGAGCATAAAAGTTGTCTGATCGGACACAGTGTCCTGGTCTCAGTGGAGTAGGTGACCTTTTTCTGTGTGATTAATGATTATTTGTTTAGAACTATCGAATTAAGGAGATAGAATACTGGATCGTTGATTGGGTAAGGTACGAATGGAGATAGTGTATCATGGCGTTATTGTAATGTAGAATTAATATTAATATTTCAATAATATCAATAAATATTCAATAGTAATGTTTGATATTGAATGAGTGATTTTTTACCCTTTTCAATCTGCTGCTTATATCCTTTCGTTGAGAATTTTTATCATTGACGGATATTATAATTGTTCATTTCAATCGATACTTTTTGAATGAATAGAAATGGTGAGGTTGAAATGAAGAAAAACATTTTTTGGTCATGTCATTGCAAAAAAAAAATCAAGGAGGTATTCACTGAAATTTGAAAATTCGAAATTTCAAAAAAAAATCGAGGAGGTATTCACCGGAATTGAAAAATTCTAAATTTTTGAAAAAGTATCAGGGGACCATGAAAATCGAGGAGGTATTGGCTGA